ATGAGGTAATCAGGAAGTAAAATGCACATGCTACAGAATTAAATTTTGTTGTCAAGTTTATCCAGCAACATCTGCAAACTTCTTATGCCTTTGGTAGCATCGTTGGTATGTATTGATAGTTTATTATGATATTTGCAACTTCAGTTCATTATTTTGCGTGTAATGATATTTTATAATGATACATTTATCCCTGCTTAAGTAACACTGTTAATATATGTGATTCTGCTGATTCATGTGTCAAACTAGTTCAGTTAAATAAGTGAATAGATAAATGCATACATAATGTGGTTTAAAAATGTATATAAACAGAAATAAGCTGGTTAATCAGGCCTTCTACAATGTTAATTTTACAATGACGTGATTTATTTTACTTCTAAGAAACATGCTTATTTTTGCTTTAGTGTAAAGGAGTAGAAAAAGAGTTGATTGTAATTTGTATGTTACAGTTTCACCTTCCTTACGACTTCAATAAACCTGTGGACAAGGAGTCATCTGTCTTCAGAGTCTTGATGTTAAGGAGGCGTTTAACTGACTGTCAAGTCATATCGAGTACATGTGATGAGGACAGCACACAAATATTGCAGGTTTTAGCAAAATATCTCATTTTTCATAAAATAATTGCTCTGAATAAATGCAATAGAATGACCCTAAAGGCACCAATGGTGTTTTTATCTGTTTCCTTTTCTATGTCATTAGGTTGGAAACAATGTTATTTCTACAAACATTTGCATCCTATGGATCTATCCTTTTTATTATTTGGGAAAAAATGTTTACCAAAATGTGGGTTTGTATGTTAACAATTAAAACAATTTTTCTTAAGTAGATTTTTATCCAAAATGATGATGTTGTTTTCCCAGAATCATAACATAACCTTGAGAAAGGTTGTTTAGAGAATAAAGGTTCCAGACCCCTGATGTACATGAATATGCGTCTCACAGGATTCATTGCTGCAATAATTTCCCCCATGGGAAAATATATGAAATGATCAGAATGTGGATATCTTTCAACAGGTTGATCTCAGTCTGTGCTGGTGGTGCAAAGGTTAAATGCACAACCCATGAATTTTTTGCAGCAGTTTCAGGTTCAAGTCCTGACTTGCTAACCCCCCCCCCTTTCTAATCCCACTTCGTGCTTGTTTACTTTCAGAAATAACAAAGGCCAACTAGTGCTTAGAAATAATCTTTTAAAACTATACATTATTTTATTTGCACAAGTATGACATAAAAGATGTCAAAATAACATAAATATCGTTATCTGAGTTAAATTTAAAAAAACGTTTGATATTAAAACAATGTTGAAATTAATAGAATAATTGATCTCTATAAAATTTATGTCAAAGGACTGATTTAAAGTTATTTATGTTTTTGACTAAAATTATGACAACCCTTTGATATCAGTGTTTGATGTCACACTGATGTTGAATTGATTTAACAGTTTCCTGTGGGAACAGTTAGGATTGTGGAAAACCTCCCTGCTCTTTCTTTCTGTCTCCTTGTTTTTCCTGTAGCTATCTCTGCTTTGGTCCAACTTCTATTTCTGACACAAAAGGCAAGAGATCTAAAAACAAAAATAATAAATAAATAAATATCAATTGTTTGCTTTAATTCCTTGTGCAGGTTTTGCGTTTAAAAATGTGAAAGGCAGCCAGCAGTGAGTTTCAGAGGAATTACTGGAAATCCATCATCTTTAACTAATTTTACTATCTGCGTCATTCTGCGGTCTGAGCGATATTTATTATTTTACATTAAAGATTTAACCTTCAGACATTTTAATGACGCATTATCGCACCATTTCGGACAATTATAGTTTAATGTTTTAGTCACTATTATTGTCAAATAGATCATATTTTCTTACCTGTCGTGCCGCTGCTCACCTGGATTAGAATGAAAGTAGTTTTGGGAATAAAGGGGCGGTTTCAACTCAGCTAAAGGAGGAAATAAGGAAGGTTAGAGATGAACAACACCAAAGGCGGTTTGAAGTAGAGTGAATTTGTTAACAAATAAATAGTGAACTTTACTCGCTGGAAAGGGATATAAATCTAAAGTGTTTAAAGTTTATAGTTTCTTATTGGAACTACTTCTTCAAGCGGAGTGCTTCTTCTGTGTTACTGCTGTAATTAACCGCCTGCGCACTGATACTGTGTCTGTTAGAAATAAAAAGTAAACATGTCAGACTTCAAAACTATCCGTGAATCTGAGTGATTCCTTTCTGCAGTAAAGAGACACAACAAATATTTATTTTATTTTTTTGGTGACGTGTAATACTGACTGAGTCCATGAATCCTAGATGAGAATCAAACCAGAGAGGAGAAGGAAAGCAGAGGAGCTGCAGGCAGAAGATGCGTCACTAACAATAAACTCAATAAACTGACAGTGAAAGAATCAACACGGAGCAGAAAGTTTGATTTGAAATGAAATAGATTCTGGAAAATGGTTTCAGTCCGATTTGAGCAGAACCAGGAAGACAGTCAGGTCAATTTTGTAACAAAGTTTATCCTAAATGTGTTACAAGGCTCAACAAATAAGTCTACATTTTCCAGTGGATATATCCTTTATATTTTTAAATGTGTATAATGATTCATCATTCTTGTAGAAAGTTGGCTGAAATAAGTTGAAGCCTGAGGCCTTTTCTTTTTAATAACCACGTCCTGTTGTTTTCTTTCTTTTCTTTTCTTTCTTTCTTTTTTTTTTTTTTTTGGTTATCTAAGCCTATTTAATGAGGATTCTTTTTGTACAGCTATTAACATTGAATGATCATGGGTCTCCCTATAACTCAGGTTCTCTGATATTTATGCTGTTCCATGACAATTATTATTATTTTTTTTTACATGACTGATGTCTGTATTATAATTCCTAGATTTAAAGTTAATGCTGTTTGGTTTTAGGCTTCTTGTTATTTACATCATATGTCTGTCAGTTAATTCAATTGCTTCTGACCTTTGGTTATTAGAAGGAGGGAAATGACATAAGGACAACAGCAGCAATAAGTTTTAATAATGGTGCATAAAAGGGTTGCAACTGTGCAACCAGACCATATTAAGGATGGAGTCTGCATCAACTTTGTGGATTAATGACTGCAGAAAACAGAACATGATGCTGGATATGAACGGTATCTGTACAAAAGCTAGAATACTGTATCAACGTATCAACATCAGGAGTGCTGTTCATGCAGTACTAAGCACATTTAATGCTATAAAGGGCTGGATGGAAAACTTTAAGAAACACTTTGGATGTAATATTTACTGCACAAAGAGACCACCTCTGTGAATACTACTGGAGCAGATGCATTCATGAACAATAAAGTTAAAGAGATCATTGAGCAAGGGGAATAGAAGCCTGAACTAGTTTTTAATAATAATTGTAAAAAAAAATCTAAGTTACTACTTCACATATGATGCCTATCAATGGTTCTCTTTGAAACATAACCCCTGGAAAAATGGAGGGTTCACTGTACTAGAAGTTATAAGGTGTGGGTCACATTTTAATTTATTGCAGTATATTTAGTAGGTACCACCAATATACTCTTTTATATCCTGCCAATATACTAGTTATATACAGCTACTTCA